TTATCTCTAATGGTAATGGTAATATTAGCCGTTTCCTTATAATGAAACATTCGGCATTCATTGACCGAGCAGCCAGTGCTACTCGTTACGCTTTTCTTCACTCCCTGACCATCAGGATGGGATCAAAGTATAGTATCTGTTCTCCTCATCTCTAATGGTAATATTAGCCGTTTCCTTATAATGAAACATTCGGCATTCATTGACCGAGCAGCTTTTCTTCACTCCCTGACCATCGGGATGGGATCAAAGTGTAGAATCTGTTCTCCTTATCTCTAATGGTAATGTAATATTAGCCGTTTCCTTATAATGAAACATTCGGCATTCATTGACCGAGCAGCTTTTCTTCACTCCCTGACCATCGGGATGGGATCAAAGTGTAGAATCTGTTCTCCTTATCTCTAATGGTAATGGTAATATTAGCCGTTTTCCTTATAATGAATCATTCATTCATTGACCGAGCAGCCAGTGCTACTCGTTACGCTTTTCATCTCTCCCTGGCCGTCGGGCCGGGATCATAGTGTAGTATCTGTTCTCCTCATCTCTAATGGTAATGGTAATATTAGCCGTTTTCCTTATAATGAAACATTCGGCATTCATTGACCGAGCAGCTTTTCTTCACTCCCTGACCATCGGGATGGGATCAAAGTGTAGAATCTGTTCTCCTTATCTCTAATGGTAATGGTAATATTAGCCGTTTCCTTATAATGAAACATTCGGCATTCATTGACCGAGCAGCCAGTGCTACTCGTTACGCTTTTCTTCTCTCCCTGGCCGTCGGGCCGGGATCATAGTGTAGTATCTGTTCTCCTCATCTCTAATGTTAATATTAGCCGTTTCCTTATAATGAAACATTCGGCATTCATTGACCGAGCAGCCAGTGCTACTCGTTACGCTTTTCTTCACTCCCTGGCCATCGGGCTGGGATCAAAGTGTAGTATCTGTTCTCCTCATCTCTAATGGTAATATTAGCCGTTTCCTTAAAATGAAACATTCGTCATTCATTGACCGAGCAGCCAGTGCTACTCGTTACGCTTTTCTTCACTCCCTGGCCATCAGGATGGGATCAAAGTGTAGTATCAGTTCTCTTCATCTCTAATGGTAATGGTAATATTAGCCGTTTCCTTATAATGAAACATTCGGCATTCATTGACCGAGCAGCTTTTCTTCACTCCCTGACCATCAGGATGGGATCAAAGTATAGTATCTGTTCTCCCTCATCTCTAATGGTAATATTAGCCGTTTCCTTATAATGAAACATTCGGCATTCATTGACCGAGCAGCTTTTCACCCCTGACCATCGGGATGGGATCAAAGTGTAGAATCTGTTCTCCTTATCTCTAATGGTAATGTAAATTAGCCGTTTCCTTATAATGAAACATTCGGCATTCATTGACCGAGCAGCTTTCTTCACTCCCCTGACCATCGGGATGGGATCAAAGTGTAGAATCTGTTCTCCTTATCTCTAATGGTAATGGTAATATTAGCCGTTTCCTTATAATGAATCATTCGGCATTCATTGACCGAGCAGCCAGTGCTACTCGTTACGCTTTTCATCTCTCCCTGGCCGTCGGGCCGGGATCATAGTGTAGTATCTGTTCTCCTCATCTCTAATGGTAATGGTAATATTAGCCGTTTCCTTTATAATGAAACATTCGGCATTCATTGACCGAGCAGCTTTTCTTCACTCCCCTGACCATCGGGATGGGATCAAAGTGTAGAATCTGTTCTCCTTATCTCTAATGGTAATGGTAATATTAGCCGTTTCCTTATAATGAAACATTCGGCATTCATTGACCGAGCAGCCAGTGCTACTCGTTACGCTTTTCTTCTCTCCTGGCCGTCGGGCCGGGATCATAGTGTAGTATCTGTTCTCCTCATCTCTAATGTTAATATTAGCCGTTTCTTATAATGAAACATTCGGCATTCATTGACCGAGCAGCCAGTGCTACTCGTTACGCTTTTCTTCACTCCTGGCCAGAGGGCTGGGATCAAAGTGTAGTATCTGTTCTCCTCATCTCTAATGGTAATATTAGCCGTTTCTTATAATGAAACATTCGGCATTCATTGACCGAGCAGCTTTTTTCTTCACTCCCCTGACCATCGGGATGGGATCAAAGTGTAGAATCTGTTCTCCTTATCTCTAATGGTAATGGTAATATTAGCCGTTTCCTTATAATGAAACATTCGGCATTCATTGACCGAGCAGCCAGTGCTACTCGTTACGCTTTTCTTCACCCTGACCATCAGGATGGGATCAAAGTATAGTATCTGTTCTCCTCATCTCTAATGGTAATATTAGCCGTTTCCTTATAATGAAACATTCGGCATTCATTGACCGAGCAGCTTTTCTTCACTCCCTGACCATCGGGATGGGATCAAAGTGTAGAATCTGTTCTCCTTATCTCTAATGGTAATGTAATATTAGCCGTTTCCTTATAATGAAACATTCGGCATTCATTGACCGAGCAGCTTTTCTTCACCCCTGACCATCGGGATGGGATCAAAGTGTAGAATCTGTTCTCCTTATCTCTAATGGTAATGGTAATATTAGCCGTTTCCTTATAATGAATCATTCGGCATTCATTGACCGAGCAGCCAGTGCTACTCGTTACGCTTTTCATCTCTCCCTGGCCGTCGGGCCGGGATCATAGTGTAGTATCTGTTCTCCTCATCTCTAATGGTAATGGTAATATTAGCCGTTTCCTTATAATGAAACATTCGGCATTCATTGACCGAGCAGCTTTTCTTCACTCCCTGACCATCGGGATGGGATCAAAGTGTAGAATCTGTTCTCCTTATCTCTAATGGTA